GTACCACTTTGGCTGCAGATTATTTTAAGTCAAAAAGAGTCAAGATTCAAAACACTCAAGAAGAAACTTTGACTTCCTCCAATTGTCTAAAAGGAGTTTAGATAGAGGACCTGCTCCAGCAAGGGACCTTTCGCCATGATAACTACAATATAATATGAACTAGGGGTGGTACACAGGGAGGAATTCAGCAGCCTATTAAAATTCTTCCCTATGTCCTATTGTTTCTGAATGGCCCAGCAAACATTTGTTTACCAAATATTTACTTTTTTCATCTGCCTGTGAATGGCTTTCCTTCTCTTTGAAGTCCCAGAACCCTACATTTTCTCCTTAGTTCCAGATGACATATATACCTCGTTTTTTCTGACTCTCTTTGGTATGTTATGTCTGTGTGGATTCCTCATACAAATGCAAGGAAATTTTATTTTCTTCTCTTAATGTCTCATGTCAGTTTATTTATCTATTTATTTTTAAAGATTTAATTTATTTATTTGTCAGAGAGAGACAGAGAGAGCACAAGCAGGAGGAGTGGCAGGCAGAGGGCGAAGCAGGACCCTCGCTGAGCTAAGACCCTGGGATCATGACCTGAGCCAAGGCAGACGCTTAACTGACTGAGCCCCCCAGGTGTCCCACTGTCTCAGGTTTAATTCTTAGACTGGGTAGAAGAAAATTGAGGTTTCCTCCCCAGCATGTACAACTATCACCATATCCAGTTTTAGGACATTTTCTTCTAATAAGATTCTTCGTATCTATTGACTGCTAAACCCCATTTTCTCCCTTAACCCGAAGGCAAACATGAATTTACTTTTCTGTCATTATGGATTTGCCTTTTCTGGACATTCCATGTAAATATCACTTAGTCTTTTGTGTTTGGCCTCTTTTATTTAGCATAGTGTTTTTGAAGTTCATTCATGTGGTAGCATGTGTCTGTATTTTCCTTTTTTTATTAGTGTTGGTGTTCCATTGTGGATATACCACATTTTCTTTAGTCCTTTGCCAGTTGATAAACATCTGGGCTTTTCCTAATTTTGACTATTATGAATAATGGTGCTACGAACGTTAATGTACGTATCTTTCTGTGAACATGTTTTATTTCTCTAGAGTTCATATGTAGGAATGGAATTTCTATATGAAAAATCTATATTTAACTTTTAAAGAAACTACAAAACTGTTTTTCAAAGTGGCTGTACCACTTCATATTCCCACCAGCAGTGTATGAAAAATTTCTCTTTCTTCACATCCTTGCTGACACTTGACACTTTCTGACTGTAGCCATCCTTGTAGATGGGAAGTGGTTTCTCATTGTGGTTTTAATGTGCATTTCCCTAATGACTAATGATATTAAGCATCTTTTCATGTGCTTACGAGCCTTTGTACATCTTTGGAGAAATATCTATTCAAATATTTTGCCTATTTAAAAATTGGATTGTTTTCTCATTAAGTTGTAGAAGTTCTTTGCATATTTGGGATATAAGTTTTTGCCATATGTGTGATTTACAAACATTTTTTCCCATTCTGTGGCTCATCTTTTCATTTTCTTAATGATGTGTTTTGAGTGAGAGTTTTTTATATTTATTTTAGATTTTGAAATAATTTAAGGTTCACATCAAGTTACAAAGGTGGTGCAGAGTAGTCCCATTATCCTTCACCCAGTTTCACTCCCAAATTTGGAATTTTAAGTCCAATTTACTTTTTTTTTTTAATTGGCTCATGCTTCTTGGATTGTGTCTAAAAAATCTTTGCATAACCCAAGGTTTTGACATAAACCCAAGGTTTATAGCCTTAGCTTTCTTCAATTCTTTTTCTTTCTTTCCTTCCTTCCTTCCTTCCTTCCTTCCTTCCTTCCTTCCTTAGTAATCTCTGGGGGCACCTGGGTGGCTCAGTTGGTTAAGGGTCTGCCTTTGGCTTAGGTCACCATCCCAGGGTCCTGGGATAGAGTCCTGCCTCGGGCTCCCTGCTGCTTCTCCCTCTCCCTCTGCCCCTCCCCATGCTGTGCTCTTTCTCTCTCAAATAAATAAAATCTTGAAAAAAAAAAAAGTAATCTCTGTACCCAACATGGGGCTTGAACTTAGGACCCTGAGATCAAGAGTTGCATGTTCTACTGACTGAGTCAGCCAGGTGCCCCAGCGTTAGCTCTTACACTGATGTCTCTGAATTAATTTTTGCATATAGTGTGAGGTAAAGGTCTACATTCATCATTTTGCATGTCGATATCCAATTGTCTCAGTACCATTTGTTGAAGACTCTTTTTCTCTCAAACTGCCTTTGTCAAAGATCAATTGGTCATAAATATAAGGGTTTATTTCTGAATTCTTAAATCTCTTCTATTGATCTGCGTTTACCCTGATGTTAGTATCAAACTGTCCTGATAACTGGAGCTTATATTAAATTTTACAATTAGGAAATGAAAACTCTCCAACTTTGTTCTTTTTCAAAATTGTTTGGCTATTCTGTCCTTTGGATTTCCATATTCATTTTGGATATAGCTTGCCAATTTCTGCAAAAAAGCCTGCTGGAATTTTGATGGAAATTGAGTTGAATCTATAGACTAACATGAGGGGAGCTGCCATCAGAACAATACTGAGTCTTCCAATCATTGAACATGGAATGTTTCTCCATTTATTTAAATCACATTTAACTCCCCTCAGCATTGTTTTGAAATTTTCAGGGTACAAGTCTTGCACTTCTTTTGCTAAATTTATTCATAAGTATTTTATTCTTCTTAATAATCTGAGTGGAATTGTTTTCTTATTTGTATTTTAAGATTATTCATTCTTATATGTAGAGATACAATTTCTTTTCATATATTAACCTTGTATTCTCCAACCTTGCTCAACATGCTTATTAATTTTAATAGGGGTTTGTGTGCATTTGTTTCTATCCCTTTAGGATCTTCCACATACAGAATCATGTTATGTGCAAATAAGGATGGTTTTACTTCTTCCTTTTCTTTCTTTTTCTTGTGATTGTACAGGCTAGAATCTCCAGTAGAATGTTGAAAAGAAGTTGTAAGAGCTGACATTCTTGTATTATTTTTTCATCATTAAGGATGATGTTAACACTAATTAAAAAAGAGATATGCCCCTCTATGTTTGTTGTAGTATTCTTTCCAACACCCCAAACATAGAAGCAACCTAAGTGTCTAGTGATACATGAGTGGATAAAGATGATGTCGTATATATACACAATGGAATATTACTCAGCCATAAAAAGAATGAAATCTTGTCATTTGCAACATGGATGGATGGATCTAGAGGGTATAATGCTAAGTGAAATAAGTCAGTCAAAGAAAAATACCACATTATTTCACTCATATGTGGAATTTAAGAAACAAAACAAATGAACACAGAAAAAAGAGACCAAAAAAGTTCAGACTCTAAAGTACAGAGAACAAAGTGGTGGTGACCAGGGACGAGGGTGGGGGGATGGGTGGAATAGGTGATGGGGATAAAGAATACACTTAGAGTGAAGAACACTGAGTCGTATATGGAATTGTTGAATCACTATGTTGTATACCTGAAACTGATATAACACTGTATGTTAATTATATAGAAATTTTTAAAAAGTATGATGTCAGCTGTAGATTTTTCATAGATGTGCTTTTTTTTATTTTAAAGATTTTATTTATTTATTTGAGAGAGAGAGAGAGATAGCGAGAGAGAGCATGAGCAAGGGGGAGAGAGAGAAGCAGCTTCTCTGCTGAGAAGGGAGCCCAACGTGGGCCTCAATCCCAGGGTCCTGGGATCATGACCCGAGCTGAAGGAGACACTTAACTGCTTGAGCCACGCAGGCATCCCTCATAGATGTCCTTTTTCGCATTGAAGAAGTTATCTTCTTTTTTAAGTTTCTTGAGAATTTTTATGAATTGGATTTTGTCGAATGCTTTTTTTGCATCTATTGAGATGACTGTGTGGTTTTATCCTTTATTCTATTTTTTTTAAAGATTTTATTTATTTATCACAAGTAGGCAGAGAGGCAGGCAGAGAGAAAGAGAGAGGAGGAATGAGGCTCCCCCCTGAGCAGACAGACCGACGCGGGGCTCGATCCCAGGACCCTGGGATTATGACCTGAACCGAAGGCAGAGGCTTTAACCCACTGAGCCACCCAGGCACCCCCCTTTATTCTATTTTTAAAAAAGATTTTATTTATACATTTGACAGAATGAGAGAGAGACAGAGAGAACACAAGCAGGGGGAATGGCAAAGGGAGAGGGAGAAGCAAGCTCCTCACTGAGCAGGGAGCCCGATGTGGGACTCAATCCCTGGACCCTGATCATGACCTGAGCTGAAGGCAGACACTTAACCAACTGAGCCACCCAGGTGCCCCTCCTTTATCTATTAATATGGTATATTACATTAGTTCATTTTATGATATTAAATGATCTTTACATTCCTGGGCTGAATGCCACTGGATCAGAGTGTATAATGCTTTGTTATATGTTGCTGGATTCAGGATCAATCTGACTTTGGAAGAAATGCAGAAATTAGTCAAGTGAAGTGGTCTCTACAAAGTCTTGTTGGTTTTAATGATATTCTTAATTAAAACATTAGAAAGTTCAGCTATCAGCATCCATTTATCATTAGGACAGTAACCCAAAAGATTGAAAGCACTTCTGTTGAGTGTCATCTGTGTTGCACCTAACGATGTAGAATGTGTTTTGAAACTATACATTCTTTTAATATTATGCAAATATTTTATTAACCTGGATAAGAAGGAGTTAGTTCAATTTTGTGAAATCTTCTTACTAATTTTTTTAAGGATTTTATTTATTTGAGAGAGAGAGGGAGGGAGTGAGGGAGAAAGTGTGCGAGCAGTGGCGGGGGCAGAGGCAGAGGCAGAGGGAGAGAGAAAATTCTCAAGCAGATCCTGTGCTGAGTATGCAAGCCAGATGCAAGGGGGGCTGCATCCCACAATAGATCTTGCCCAGAGCCGAAATCAAGGGCTGGGCACTCACCCAACTGAACTACCCAGGTGCCCCTTCTTATTCATTTCTTAGTGGTATGTCTTGAGACCATTATTCACTTTATTTCATTACTCTAAGTACAGGCTCAAAGTCTTACAACCTTTCTGAAAGACAGAAAGTCAGAAAATTCAAACTGCGATTTTAATATCTAGCATGGGGTTTTGAACAGTGAACATAACGGATTTGTCCCCACTTCCATCCTTTTCTTTCAAAATGAGTTTGAAAAGCTCTTTCTCTCTTTTACAAGCTAGAAAGTGTCCTTGGTACAATGAAGACTCAAATTGTATCTTATCATCATGTCCTGGAACACTTCTCTGAAAGAATATGATGTCATTCCCTTCGTCGTTGATACTGTTTGGAGGTCTCATTTCCTGTAGAGAAAAAAAAATTATTTAATTTTTTAAAAAGATTTTATTTATTTATTTGAAAGGGAGAGATCACAAGTAGGCAGAAAAGCAGGCAGAGGAGGGGTGGGAAGCAGGCTCCCTGCCGAGCAGAGAGCCCGATGTGGGGCTCGATCCCAGGACCCTGAGATCATGCCCTGAGTTGAAGGCAGAGGCTTTAAGCCACTGAGCCACCCAGGCGCCCCAAAAATATTGTTTAATTTTTTAAGGACATAAACAATTTGAATTTGTGTGGTTTATTTTGAAGTATATTACTGCACAGAGCTAAAGAAGTCTTTATTCTCGGGGCGCCTGGGTGGCTCAGTGGGTTAAGCCTCTGCCTTCAGCTCAGGTCATGATTCCAGGGTCCTGGGATCGAGCCCCACATCGGGCTCTCTGCTCAGCAGGGAGCCTGCTTCCTCCTCTCTCTCTGGCTGCCTCTCTGCCTACTTGTGATCTCTGTCTGCCAAATAAATTAATAAAATCTTTAAAAAAAAAAGAAGTTTTTATTCTCAAAAGTTAAACAAACCTTTCAGTGTAAGAATACTGATCTTGTTTCCTCTTAATTCCTAATCCATCTATTCTCCCTGTTTACTCTGGCTTCTCCCGCCATTGATGCACATTCAGGTTTAGGCCTGAGGTTTCTCCCAGTTTACCCATCGGAGAGCTTCTTTTTCTCCTCTCTCCCAGTGGAGTCCATATCTGGTCAAGAGGAAGTAGAATTCTAGCAGAGACCAGCTGTTTGGGCTATGGTGAGTTCCTGTCTTCTTCCACCATTCACAGCTAAAGACATTGATGACCTCCGCCCCTAGGCATAGGCTAGCTCTTGTTTCTGAGCCAAACGTGAGAGAGGCAGAAAGTGGCAGGCATCTCAGCTTCCTTTCTTCCGTGGAGCCTGGGACTGAATTGTACAGGGTTACGTCCTTTGTTCCAGTCTAACCCTGCTTATTGGCCTAGAGAGCACTTTTTTTTTTTTTATAGATTTTATTTATTTATTTGACAGAGATCACAAGTAGGCAGAGAAGCAGGCAGAGAGAGAGGAAGGGAAGCAGGCCCCTTGCTGAGCAGAGAGCCCGATGTGGGACTCGATCCCAGGACCCTGAGATCATGACCTGAGCCGAAGGCAGCGGCTTAACCCACTGAGCCACCCAGGCGCCCCCTAGATAGCACTTTTTCTCTGCCAAGTACTCTAGTCCTGCAGTAGTCCTGAATTTCTATCCTGAAATTGGCTGGGCTTTGCCCTGAACCAAATGGTGATTCCTGTGTCCTTCAGTAACAACAGAAGGTTTTCTCAAGCATATCTAGGTTACTTGAAACTATAATCCTGCTGGTCACTCAACTGACAGTATGGCCTGCACTTTTCCTATGAGTACATCATACCTACTTTTCAGGATGGACTAGAAAAATGTAAGGACCACCCAAGTTTCTTTCCATATTAATCCCAGAGCTAGCAGACATTTTGAGCTTAATTTTGACCCCCTGGTAGCAAAGGTTACCATTATCCTAAGGACTGATAGAGAGACCTCCACACCCAAAATAGCATTCCAGCATCCTCCCAAGATGCCTGAAAGAATCTGGGCAGGGGTACCTCCAAACTTCTCAGTCAGTTGTGGAATTTATACTTCTAACTCTTGACCTTTGTCCTTTGTCAACCAGGAGGGTCCTTAACTGATGACAATACAAACTAGCTCACCCCAGATCATCTGCAGCTGTCCATGATATACCAGAATTTAGGGAGACCCAACCTGGGGGAGCCAATTTGGGACTAAGCTAAAGTCTAATGTATAAGTGATAAATCATCCTTAGCTAACACTTCAAAAGCTGTAGAAATACTAGAGAGAGAGAAACCTTTTAGTTCAAACCCAGTGTGGAAAGTTATAGTTGAAGGTGGAGGGGTGGATAGGTAGACTAGGTGAACTCTAACTAGTTCAGTGCCCTATTCCAGAACAGAGGCAAGGAAATCTTGGGGCAGGAACTCTCCTTGGCTTTAGTGTTGACTACTTACAGCTGTCATAGGGAAGGTGCCCAACAAATGGATGTGGAAACAATCCCAGTGACTTTGGGGAACTCTCAATTCAGAAAGCCCTACCTGGCGAAACTTGAGTACTCCAAGAGCCTAAGGTATTCTTTACATCAGGAGGAGTTGAATCTGAACCCAGGGGAAGGTAAGCTTGACGTAACATCCGTTAGTTTGATCCTCTCCCAAGTGCACTAGTAAGTCTGAGAGAACTTAAAAATAACATACATAAATGGGGCGCCTGGGTGGCTCAGTCGTTTAAGCATCTGCTCTTGATCTCTGCTTGAGTCTTGATCTCAGGGTTGTGAGTTCAAGTCCCATGTTAAAATTTATTTATTTACTTAAAAATAAATAAGAAAATAACATATATCGATTGAAAGCGGAAGGATATAGCCAAGATTTAGGCTAAGAAGCAGGAACGAAATAATTAAGGATCAAAATATCATCATAATTTACAAAGTAGAAGGCTTACAGAAGGACAGTTGGCTTCATTCTGTGTGGTAGGACTCATTGTGGAAAGTCACAAGCCATTCTTTTTTTTTTTTTTTAAAGGTGAAATTCTTTCTTTCTTTCTTTCTTTCTTTCTTTCTTTCTTTCTTTCTTTCTTTTTTTAAAGATTTTATTTATTTATTTGACAGAGAGAGAGAGAGAGACAGTGAAAGAAGGAACACAAGCAGAGGGAGTAGAGAGGGAGAGGCAGGCTTCCCCCTGAGCAGGGATCCTGATGCAGGCTCTATCCCAGGACCCTGGGATCATGACCTGAGCCAAAGGCAGACACTTAACAACAGAGTCACCCAGGCACCCCACAAGCTGTTCTTTAATATATATTGATAATTCATGTCTGTACTCTATATTCTTACTTTATCTATAGGTTGATTATTCAGAAGACCCGGGTTCTGAAACAAGTCTTGTGCCCGTGCCTCCGTACAGCAGGCTCAGAAAAACTATGATGTGATTGCAATAAGTTAGAGAGTCTGACAATTATTAGTAACTATCCATTTTAAGGCTTCTCTGCTTCTTGCTATTCTTGTTCTAGATAAAAGTTTGGACTGAGGGTATTGGGGTTTTTAAATTTTGCACACAAATATGACTCAAACAAGTCAGTCTTACCTTAAAGGAAATAGTTTTGTTCTTACAGGACAGAGTAGACATTCTCTTACACATCACAGAGATGGTTACCGCCAGACCTCTGGTGAGGCTATCTTTATACATATTTATGATAAATATGGTATGGGGTGCGTTTTCTGAAACAAACATTAATAAATGAGAAGTTAGAAGAGCTTTTGCAAATCAGTATTTATGGAAGTTAGCCTAAGGCTAAACCTTAACAGACCCATTATCACTGCTCTCACATTCAGCCAGTTAACTTTAAAACACATTCACAGTATGTATTATAACACAAATGCAACTTTTTGACGGTTGTACAGATACTTTGAGTTCATTAAAAGATTGTTTTTAACTTTCAAATGCTAAATAGAACATTTAAAAAAAATACGTTAAGGTCAACTCTGATATTTGGAATTTAGACCTTGGGAAGGCCCAGTGAACTGATTCCCTTCGTAAGGCACTCTAAATTTCTGGTGTAAGACAGACTGAACTTGAAATGCTTGTGTATTTATTTTTAATTTTGAGTTTTGAAAATGCCGTCAGCAATTTCAGCTCTAAGCTGCAGGTGCCAAGGGTCCATGTAGAGATCCTGTAGAGTTAATGCAATTACAGTGAAGGAATTGGTGATCCACATGTAGGCTCACAGCATGACCCTTAGCAATATCTTTATTGCATCAATTTTTCACCCCTGCCAAAAAAATTGTGGAATACCCTATTAAGTTTCCTGTGAATGAAATTATTACTGCTCCTAGGACTTTTCCTCTGAGAATTAGGACTATCATAGAAAAACAGAGGTAGTTAAATAGAATGGGAAGAAGTAGCTTATCACTTTTATGTTACAAATATGTATTAAAAAGATAATACCTGTACAGTCAGAATCAGGCATATCCTCAAACACTAGTTGATTGCCCTCGTTAACGAAGAGAACTTGGTCGTTCAAATTTCGTATGATAGAGAGTCTAGGTTCAACCTTGCCAAAGTAATCGGATTCCAGGTTGTCTACAATGCACATTAAATTTCATTTAAAAATATGTTTTTTCCCCTCTAAATTTACAAATAAGCATACTATATGTTTCAGTTTTCAATAGCTACTAATCGTAATCTTCTGGTACACAAGCATCCAGGGCAACGTTGCACGGTGTTTTCTAACCCACTTCCAAGAGCACACCCCACTTCTTGTTATCACCCAGAACTACTCTTCCTCTACAGTCTTATAGTCAAATATCCTATTTTCTAACCACAATCTCCCATCCTTTTAGCTTTCTTAAGCTTTTCCTCTACTTCAGAGTCCCCCTGCCTCTTACATTTTCTCCCTGTCTAACCTCTTCCTCTCTTCCTTTTCTTCTCTATGCAGCCTGGACCTCATGGCTCATCATTTTACCTACCCTTTTGCCAGTATCTTAAATCCAGAATTTATTTGTCCCCCAACTACAAAACCCCAAACCTGGCTGCCGAGATTTGCCAGTGAACAATTATACACATGTACAAATTGGTGTCGTCACAAATTCACCGATTGTCAATACTTCCTTCCTGTTCCAGTTCAGTACTCTTCTGTAGTCCAGACCTGCAGTTCCAAATCTTCTCCTGTCTCCTAAGGCTCTCTACACCGTCACCTCTGCTTTCACTTCAGCAGATGATTTCCTGCCACTCCACTTACAAGTGTAACTATGGCAGCCCCAGTTATTTCCACTGCCCTTCTTGTCACCAAGGGAAAATATGGAAAAAGTGCCCCTTCTGGTGTCCTGGGCTGACCTCTTCTGTGCTCCATATGTGTCTTCTACTGAAACCTTGATTTACCAATCATCCTCTGTCTTCTACCAACCTAGCCATTTGACTTCCTGGATCTTATTCTAAAGAAACAATCAGGCAAATGCATAAATATTTCAGTACCCAAATGCTTGTAGGAGCATTGTTAACAATAGCAACAAACTGGAAACAATTTAAATGATGCTAATTGGGGATTAATCAAAAACATTTTGAGAGGCCCTTACTATGGAAGATCACGAATTAAATATAATTATAATTATTCATTGCCATGGAAAGATATGTGTGTGTGTTTAAATGAGAAAAAGCAGCTTAGGTATAGTATGACATGTACTGAAAGATGTATGGGACTATTGGATCAAAATGGTAGCAATGATTATTTCTGGGTTATTTTCATGTTTTTATTTTTCTTATTGTTCTTCACTTCATTGCCTAAAAATTATTTATAATAGCATATTATTTTTGTAATAAGAAAAACATAAGGCTCTTTTCACTTTGAGATTTAAAATTTCTCTATCAACAATATCCCCTCTGTAGCTGGCCATGTATTTCTCTTCTTTTTAATAGTCATGCTTCTGGCAAGAGTTGTCTGTATCACTTCCTTGCCATTTGCTCTTCCACTAATTGCAGTCTGCCTCCATTTCTTTTTCTTTTTTTTTTTTCAAGATTTTATTTATTTATTTGAGATAGAGCAAGAGAGAACATGAGCTGGGTGAGAGGCAGATGGACAGGGAGAGGTGGACTCCTGGCTGAGCAGGGAGCCCCACACGGGGCTCTATCCCACGACCCTGGGATCATGACCTGAGCCGAAGTCTGACACTTAACCCACTGAGCCACCCATTTCTCCCCTCTGCCTCCATTTCTCCATCAAACTGCTTTCGAGGAGGTCGCCTAATTTCCTGTTGCTGAATGTAATACAGACTTTCCAGCCATTGGTTTTCAAGGCTACAAAATCCAGCAGGGTGCCCATGACCTCTAGCTTGAAAGGCTCTCCTGGGATTCTGTGGCATTCTCTTGTTTTTTCTCCTTCCTCTTTGGTTACTCTGCTCTGTTCTTTACTTTACCTGGCATTCAGGTAGGATCATACCCATGTCTGGCCTGTGATCCTCTAACGTACTCCCAGATTATTACTATTTTATTTTTCTACTGCATCCTTTAAATGTAGGTATTTCCTCAGAGTTTAGTCCTTGGCTTTTACTTTTTCCCTCTACACATTTCCTCTGATTTGTCTTTTTATTCCTGTAGCTTCAGATGCCATTTCTATGCACAAGCCTCCCGCATCTATATAACTAGCCCAGATTTTCATCCTGAGCTCTGAACCATATGTCCAAGGGTCTCCTGGACATTTCCACTAGGATGTCCCACAGATAAGATCCAAAACTAAATTTATGTCTTCCTCTTTGCTCCACATACCTCTGTACCCTGCTCTTCCTTTTGTGTTTCCTATTTAGTGGAATGCTACAAACTGCCTAAGTGAAAAAAGGGAGCCATCATTTCTTCTGTCTTTCTCTCCATCTCCTAAATCTAGCCCCAATCATGTCCTGTCGATTCTTCCAAGTATTTCTAAAATCGCTCCACAGCTCTTCACTGACCCACGGTGCCTACCTTCATTCATGTCACCGTCATTTCTTACAGAGACTGCAGCAGTAGCCTCGTAATCGGCATCCCCCTTTTGGTCCACACCTCAATTCTTTATACTGAAGCCAGAAGCAATTATAATTCACTTTTAATTAAAGTTAAAATTCAGAGAGATGATCCCGATATCTCTGAATTTTAATGAGGCACATAGCCGCCCAGAATAAAGATCATATTTTCAGATTTCCTCAAAGTTGGTGTGGCCACACGACTAGATTCTAATGGATGGAATGAGTACAAATTGATGTGTATGACTTCCAAGTAGAGCCTTTCAAGGAAATGGGGCTGTCTTCCTCCTACTTTGAACCCTTTCTTGCCAGCTGGGATATGGACCCAGGAAGTGTGATAAAGCCTTTGAAGTATGTGAGTGAGTTCAACAGCTTAGGGATGCCAGAATAACGAGAGAAGAAACTTGAGATCTCAACATCATCAGACGTTATCTAGCCATACTAATCCTGAACTACCTACTTGGACTTGTGTTTGACAGAAGCATTTTCTATCTTATTCAGTTACTGTATTTTTGGATTTCTTTTTTTAATGGCAAACTACTCTGTATTCCAGATCATATAAATTGTGCTTAATGAGTCCCCATTATCCCAAAGATAAGATCCAAATTCCCTATCTTGGAATAAGAGAACCTTCTTTATCTGCACCCTATTTATCATTCTTCTCACTCCATTCCCCTACTCCCATTCTAAGTTACTTTTATTCCCCATAGGTGCCATGCTTCCTTTCATATCTTGGCCTTTGCATGTGGTCTTCTTCCTGTCTCAAATACTTTCCCTGGCTAACTCCGATTCACTCTTCAAATCTGTCCCTCCTTCAAAATGTCCCTCCCAGAATCTAATGGACTGAATTAGGTGCCCCTTCTATGTGTTCCCATAGCATCCTGTGCCTTTGTTAACTCGATATACCATATTCCAATTGCCTTTGTGATGTGCCTGCTTCTTCCCATAGGAACCATGTTTTGTTCACCATTGTAACCTACTGCTTAACCCAGTGTCTGGGATACAGATGCCAACATGTATTGAATTAAATACAAGAAGAGTAGGGGAGTCTTTAAGAAACACGATGAGTTATATGTCAATTATATCTCAATAAAGCTGGGGGAATAAAAGAAACATGAAAAAAAAAGCTTTTTTTTTTTTTTTTCCAAAAAAGAAGCTATCTTCTATTTCTAGTCCAGTAAGGGTCACCTTAAGAATGGGAAAAGTGATATTTTTAAGGAAAAGCATGAGAAACTAAAGGGCTTTAATAATCTGGGAGTCTCTTAGAGGATCACAGACCAGACATGGGTATGATCTTACCTGAATGCCAGGACGAGGAGTGGATGCATCCACATCTTAATAAGACTCAATGACTCAGCCTCACAGCTCTGCTTGCTCTACCCTTCCCCATCTCCTCTATTTCCAGAATTCTCTGCCCCCTGGGAGCCTCCGAGGTTTCCTCCCAAAGCATTTCTGAGAAAGAGGATTGAAGAAGGAGGATTCTCATGATTTTGGACAATTCTCTTCTTCAATCCCTTTTTCCTCCAGAAAATTCATAACTTCCTGCTAATCTCAGGATCTGTATAACAGGTGAAGTCTACTTTGTAGATTCTAAGAGCTAGAGCATTTCCTAAGATGTAGAAAGCAGCATATTTTGGTGGAAGTTCTTCTTTGTATCCCTTTTGGTCATCTTTATTCCAGGGCAATGCTATGGAGCGCACATTCCTCTGTGGGAAGATTCGCCTCTCAAATACACTGAAACCGTACCAGTTTCTCTCAGCTGAGAGTGATGATATGGATGTGTCTGAGAGATGCTTTCTAAAGTAGTTACTTATTTTACAAAGATAGAGAAACAAATTTATACTTTACCATCATTTTCAGCTAAAGGGGAGAAAAGAGAAACAAAATATGTTAAATTCTATATTTGAATTCAGAATATCTTTTGCCCTACCATTTCATTACTCTCCTGTCACTCTCCAATATTTAACCACTATTTTACCAATGATGGCCTTTATAGGCCTCCACAAGTGATAATATAAAATCATCCCAAAGGTCCCATAAAATGAAGCTCATTAGACTCAATGTGTTCTCAGGTAAATTAGATATAAGACCTATATACAGGGTTTATAAATTCAAATTTTCAGTTAAAAGGAAGTTTTATAAAACGATAGATTTACTCTTAAGTTGATTGTTTAAGTGGAAAGTCACCTAGGGACTTTCTATGACGCTTTCACATGAAGCCAGCCTTTCAAGTGAAGCCAAACTGCCCATCAAAGATTAATCATTAGAATCTGTTTTTATATTTCAAATATATTTACATAAAATGGCATAACTCACTCACAGAACTCTAGATGTAAGGTATTTCTTATATGATTTGCCCATTTGTTTTGGGAAATTATATTCCCTGAATGTGCCCAATTCTGTGGGATTTTCATGATGTGCACCTGAAGCCACCTTATGAGTTGGCTACTGTTAACTAAAGAGCCAGGACATGTGGTGGGATGAGGTGCTAGAATGTGGGACATATTGTGGCTAATTTCTAGAAGCCCATTTTTTTTCTTTCCAGAGAAGAGCATCATTAGTATTACAATGGAATTTGGTGACAGAAAAAGAAGCACTTAAGAGTTCACCTCACACATCTTTTCTAGCTGCATACATTTATCTGAACCCTTATTTGGCCTATGGCTTTAGGCTTACCTACAAAGTAAAGTGTATTGTCAATAAATTTCATTCCCACAAAGTTGATGCAGTTGTCTTCTACTGGGTTAGTAGCCATCTTTATTCCTAATGAAAGCAAAGCATCATCTGTGAAAAGGTAGTGGTTGTTCCATTTACACAAAAAGAACCCTTTACTACTTACTGCCTCGTACTACTCCCAATTCAAAAGTCAATGTATCACCTAGTATGCCGATGAACACGTTGGACATTTTAATAAATGCTCTGGTCTTTGGCCTATGAATGCACATGTTCAGATGTTCTTTTTTTTAAAGATTTTTAAAAAAATATTATTTATTGGACAGAGAGAGATCACAAGTAGGCAGAGAGGCAGGCAGGCAGGGGGTAGGGGGAGGAAGCAGGCTCCCTGCTGAGCAGAGAGCCTGACATGGGGCTTGATCCCAGGATCCTGAGATCATGACCTGAGCCGAAGGCAGAGGCTCAACTGACTGAGCCACCCAGGTGCCCCCACACGTTCAGATGTTCTCTTGCAAACCATCAAGATATTTGGAATCTAGAAAGCATCTTCTCATAAGACAGAGTTATAAAGAGTAGATAAGTGGTCCACTACTGAACTGAAATACTGTCCTAGTATCTTGGGGGAATATATTATCAGTATAAACACAGGATGCCTATCATTTAACTGTGGATTGGCTCTATCTCTGTCTTTCAACCAATGGGTTCATGTGCATAGGAGATTGAAGGTTTGTGACTTCACTGTCAAAGTGCTAAAGGTGAGACAATGACACAAACGGTGTTTCCTCCCAGCAGTGAGGGCAGGGTGGTGGGGGTCGTGGTGGGGGGAGGCTGAAGGGCTTGGCATCTGGTGGCCCTCTTCCTCCCTATGCAGCAGGAGCTTTCGACCTGGAGTTTGAGTTATACTATGCTTTTTCCACAAGGAATACATAAATATATAATGTTTCCATAAAAAAACGACAACAAATAGTTTAGAATTTGAAAATGTTAAAACTTCTTTTTGCTCTTCTCCTCCGCCCCACCCTACTCCACCCCACCCAGTCTAGTGTGTACCCTTCCAGACCTGTGTCTGTGAAGCAAGGATTCTCTATCTGGGAAATTTCTGAACGTGGATGTGAAAAAAATTACAGATTTATTTTCACCAACTTCTAATGGAAATTTAGCAGTTCTTTCCATTATGGTGTAGGAAACAAACGTATTAATAGCAATACTTGTAATGTCACTAATAGAAATACATATTTCCTATTGTATTATCTTGAGATCTTGAAATAGGGTTTAAACTCCTTTCTGTTTTGAAATATACAGAAGTTATTGGTCCTACCAGTAGATTTTGTGATTTATGTTTTAATAAGGAAGCACACATATACTATAACAAAATTTGCTAATTTTTTGATAACCCCATTTTGATATAATAGGTTTTCTTTATAATCTTAAGTATGTAATGTTATGCATGTAAAAACATTATTTTGAGAAGGGGTCCATAAACTTCGGATTGCCCATGAGGGTCCGCAGCACAGAAATGATTAAGAGCCTCTACTCCAGATTTCAGCAGTACTTTGGGTTCTTGAGGGTAGTTATGGTTGGGGCTCTAACTCTAAGGCAGGTGCTTGGGTCACAGTTGTCACTGGTATTTATAGAGGTATTTAAGTCGAAGCTCCTAGGTAGTATGCTGGGTCGACTATTTTTCTGGCATAGTCTGAGGCCAGATATATATGGTAGAGGAAGCAGGAAATTAAAACTCAGTTAAAAAACTTAATCCAAATTAAGTTAACCCAAGACACTTGTCGGTTGGTGGCTATTCATCAGTTTAATCTATATTATATTAATTATATTAATCTATTATATAATTATATTAATCTATCCTTTATCCTATCCTTTTATATAATTATATTATATTAATCTATCCTTATACACATACAAATGTGGATAGTTATCAAATTTATACAGATATATAACATACAAGCATATGAAATAACGGCTAGGTGATCTTCTCTACAAACTTTAATATTATGTAACGCCCTCATATTTTTGGAAAATGATTTACCTGAGAAGTACTAAGTAGTACATGCAGGAATTGGATGAAATTACTTATGTTTACTACAGGCAGTATTCAGTCAATGAGTGAATAGATTTAGAGGATACTGTTACCTTAAAAATAACATTACACAATATTTGAAATCATCAGTTAATTATTGAGCATGCACTGTGTGGCAGTGATGGAGCTGGAAAGCTGACAAAACATAATACCTACCCTCCAATTACACAGAGTCTGGTGAAAGACAAATATATAAACAATTGCAAAACAGTATGAATGCTATAAGAGCTGGATTTATAAGAGATCCTCCGTCTGCCTGGCAGTGTTGAGGAAGACTTCTTAGGGGACATGATAATTGTGTTGGCTTATAAGAGAGACAGGCATTTTCAAGGCCAGGGGAAGAGCTTTCACAAAGAGGGAAGGAACCATGTGAGCAAAAGCCAGCAAGCAGGGAATTCTGAGAGAACATGGCTTATTTGGACCCTTTTACTGTAGTTAATGCAAATGCAGCCTCATTTTACAAGAAGAAAAGCATTTTTGAAGATCTTACAAGTTCAAGATTAAATTTTCCCTGGGAATAAATAGAAATATATGTAAAGAGATATCCTTGGAGTACACAAATCTACAACAACCAAGTGTATTCTTGCTTTCTTTCTTTGTTTCAATTTTTTCAATATTATAAATAATGCTTTGCGTAGTGCTCTCTCCACACATTCTATCATGATTGTACTTTGGCCCTTTTACCATTGTTTTCTTGCACCTGTTTTCCAACTTATTTATCTGGAGGTGCTTCTCAGCACAAGCAGTAACCATACTCCTCAGCACTTTGATAGCATTACTATCAGATATAAAATATTTAAAATTATAAGAGTAGTGAACTTTTTAAAAAGATTTTATTTATTTATTTCAGACAGAGAGAGAGAGAGAGAGGGAAAGCACAAGTGGGGGGGAGGGGCAGAGAGAGCAGCAGGCTCCCCGCTGAGCAGGGAGTCTGACATGGGGATCCATCCCAGGACCATGGGACCATGACCCAAGTCACAGGCAGATGCTTAACCGACTGAGCCACCCAGGCGCCCCAGGAATAGCGAACATTTAAAAAACAGTGTCACAGTAACCAGTACATCTCAAGAACTTCTGGGATATTTAAAGAATAGCCTAGCTTACATAATAATGACATGGAAGTAGCTAATTCTGTCAGGTATAAGAGACACTTAGGTGTGTCAAGAGTGTTAACAGTTCACAACTCACTTAACGAACCAGCTCTGAAATTGTGTCATTCTAGATAAACTAATTTGGGGGACTTGACATATTTCATTTTGCCTGTAAAGTAAGAGTATTATTTTTATATTGTATGAGTTGATTACGCCTAGTTCAATTCACATAAAATGCAACTTGCTGTGTAGTTCAGTTTGACAAAAGCTCCCAAAGAAGAGTCAGATTATAAAGGCCTTGCTTGGGGCGCCTGAGTGGCTCAGTGTGTTAAGCCTTTGCCTTCGGCTCAAGTCATGATCTCAGGGTCCTGGGATCGAGCCCCACATCGGGCTCTCTGCTCAGTGGGGAGCCTGCTTACCTTCCTCTATCTCTGTCTGCCTCTCTGCGTACTTGTGATCTCTGTCAAATGAATAAATAAATAAAATCTTAAAAAAAAATAAAAGCCTTACTTAAATAGGCTAAAGAATTTGAACTGCTCTTCTGAAAAAAAAAAAAAAACACCTGACTTCCTTTAAGTAGGAGAAAGACATGATCAAATTTATGTTTTAAAAAGCTCTCCCTGGCAGTGGTGTAGAGGATGGATTCTATGGGCAAGACTGGACAGAAGCCAGAAAACCACCTCAGAAGTAATTTTGACTTAAAGTACCAGTTGATAAAGCTGTAAACTAAGGTAGTTTCTGTGGGGATGAAAGGATATTTACCTGCAGGATTTTTAGCTGATTGGTTGTAGGTCAAATGGAAGGAGGAACTGCAGATGACTTCAAAGTTGCTGGCTTGGGTAGTTTGTTGAGTGGTTACCTTATTATAACTAAGAAAAAAGAGACTGACAGGCTTAAGTAGAAAATGTGTTCAGTTTTGCAAATACTGGAGAGAAGTGATAGAAGGCAAGGGAGAAAGGAGCTTTAAAGAAGAACTGCTTGAGCTTTGCGCAGTGGCAGTATCGTAGCCAATGAGGTTTATCCGAGGCGCGGTTATTGCTAATTAAAGAAGAACTGCTTGAGATCAGAAACTGACGGGCTCAAACTTGCTCACTGAATTTGGCTGTTAAGAAGTTAAGGAGTCGAGGGGCGCCTGGGTGGCTCAGTGGGTTGAAGCCTCTGCCTTCAGCTCAGGTCATGATCTCAGGGTCCTGGGATCGAGCCCCGCATCGGGCTCTCTGCTCAGCAGGAAGCCTGCTTCCTCCTCTCTCTCTGCCTGCCTCTCTGTCTACTTGTGATTTCTGTCAAATAAATAAATAAAATCTTAAAAAAAAAAAAAAGAAGTTAAGGAGTCGAAGTGGGGAATGTGGAGGGAGCAGAGGCACGCTGACAAAGATCTAGGGCAGAAGGGGTGGGGCAGGATGGGATGTGAGGTAAGACAGCAAATATGAAGTATTCTTTTAGGGAGTCTGGCTCTGAAGCATAGAGAGAGGGTGGTAGCTAGTTGGGGGGGAGGTGTATATAACTTGCAAATTTCAGTTTCTGGCTCCAGACCCACAGTCCAAGTGCAGGATATATTAATGAATTACTTTCCAAAACATGCCCAAGTACCTGTCCCAAATGGAAACCCGGGAGTCCTCCATTCCTTTGTCTAAGCTACCTCATAAATATTATAGATTATAACTCAGAAATATCTTTAGAATTTGATATCTTCTCTCCTTCTCCACCAGCTCTGTTTTTTAAAAAATAATTAATTAGTTTTAATGACTAATCAAGTTCTTTTTTTAAATTTAAATTCAATTAATTAACATATAGTATAAGTTTCAGAGGTAGAGTTTAGTGACTTATCAGTTGCATATAACATCCAGTGCTCCTTACATCATGTGCCATCCTTAAAGCCCATCACCCATTACCCCATCCCCCCAACCACCTCCCCTCCAGCAGTCCTCAGTTGCTTCCTAGAGTTAAGTCTCTTGTGGTTTTTCTCTCTCTCTGATTTCATCTTATTTTATTTTTCCTTCCTTCCCCTGTGATCCTGTTTTGTTTGTTAAATTTCGCATATGAATGAAATCATATGATAATTGTCTTTCTTTGATTGATTTATTTCACTTAGTATAATACCCTCTAGTTCCATCTGTGTTGTTACAAATGGTATAATTTCTTCTTCTCTCTTTTTTTTTTTTTTTTTTGGATGGCTGAGTAATATTCCATTGTATATATGACCACATCTTCTTTATCCATTCATCCGTCAACGGCCATCTCAGCCCTTTCCATACTTTGGCTATTATGGACATTGCTGCTATAAACATTGGGGTGCAGGTGCCCCTTTGGATCACTACATTTGTATCTTTGGGGTAAATACCCAGTACTACAATTTCTGGGTCCTACAGTAGCTCTATTTTTTTTTTTAAGATTTTATTTATTTATTTGTCAGAGAGAGAGAGCGTGCGCACGCAAGCACAGGCAGACAGAGTAGCAGGCAGAGTAGCAGGCAGAGGCAGAGGGAGAAGCAGGCTCCCCGCTGAGCAAGGAGCCTGATGTGGGACTTGATCCCAGGACGCTGGAATCATGACCTGAGCCGAAGGCAGCGGCCCAACCAACTGAGCTACCCAGGCGTCCTGGTAGCTCTATTTTTAACTTGAGGAACCTCCATACTGTTTCCTGAATGACTGTAGCAGCTTGCATTCCCACCGGCTGTATGAAAGGGTTCCCTTTTTTTGCATCCTTGCGGAACATCTGTTGTTTCCTGACTTGTTAATTTTAGCCATTCTGATTGCCCACCAGCACTGTTTTAAATCCAGCCCTCATAGCTTCCAGTATCTTCTATTTTAATACTCCTTGACTTGGTTATCTTGCTTCGAGACTCTCCCGGACTACATACTGTTGTTGTCAGTGTCATTTCTCCTACCAGACCATACCTTTCCTGCTTTTGTTGCCTGCCAAACCCTTCATTCTTCATCTTTTAAGTCCCCACTCAACATTTTCTCTAGGGAAGCCTCCCTGACTCCTCTATTTCTACTTAATCATTCTCTCCTCAGTGCCCCCCCCCATCTACCTCTTCTCAAATAGCTCTTACTATGCCAAATAAGATTATTTTGATTACAAATAGGTCTTCCCAGCTTCCATCTGAGTTTCTTTATGATGAATTGTCCTTTTTTTCTTAAATCTTCAACATCCGGAAGAAGTTTATGCACATGAAGAGCTCAATAAATGTTAAATGAATAAATGTTTGCTATGATAAACTGTGTTGCCATGACAACAGTGTGTAAAGGGACTGGTAGAATTTTTTCTGTCTTAAAACCTTTACTCCATCTGAAAGCCAATGAGAAGGAGAAGGAAAATCTGAAACATATTTTATTTTTTAAAAGATTTTATTTATTTATTTGAGAGAGAGAGAGAAAAAGAAAGAGACAGAGAGGGCGTAGGGAGAGGGGCAGAGGCAGAGGGAGAGGGAAAGGAAGAGAATCCCTAGCAGACCTCAAGCTAAGGGAGGAACCGTATGCAGGGCTGGATCTCACAACCCTGAGATCATGACTTGAACCAAAAGAAGAGTCAGATGCTTAACCCACTGAGCCACCCAGGCGCCCCTGAAACATATTTTAAAATTAGAGTAACTTCTCCAATATTTAAAAAAAAAAATTAAAAATAGAGTGACTTCTCCAATAAGCTCCCTCTTTTTTTTTTCTCTAGTGCTTTCTTATTTCATGTGTTGATTTTCTTACCACTCTTTTTGTTAGATCTCAATACATCTATGATTACAAGTGTTGTGCCTCTTTTTACTCCTCCCCTCAATTTTCCTCTTGTTTCATCATCCATGTTCCTTTGCTTTCTTAACTCTGGTCTATGAAAATTATAGTTCCCATTAGATAAAGATGCTTTGAATATTTCATCTAAAATTCTCAGATTATTGAGTTTTTCTTCTTTTAAAGTTACAAACCACCTCAGAACCATCCTCCCAGGAATATGCAGTGGCAATTGGTTCTTTGAAACAAAAACCATTTTAGTTATACAAGACCTGGAAAACTAGCCAAAGGCTAGCGGATGATAGAAAATCACGATGGAAATTAGGCCACAGGGTTTGCAATCTTGCCTGGGGCAAGTCACTTAATTTTGAGGGTCTCAGTTTCCTCATTTCAACAGAAGAAGTGAATGGTTAATTTTTCAGGTCTTAACCAGCTCCAGCATTCTGTAATTCTAGATTCTAGATAAGGCTGCAAGGATAGAATCATTTATATGCAGCAAATATCCTCATAACCACTTCCTCCTAGTTGTAATACAACATGTATTGATTGAATATTTACTGTATAGCCAGTGTTGTTAAGTTGTAGGAGTTAAAAAACATACAATTAGATTGAAAGTAAAATTGTCCTAAATTTGAAAAGCAATCATGTTTATTCTTGCTGTGGAATTACAATTTTGTGGCATAGGCATGGGATGTAATGAGAAAGCATATTACCTAATTCACTAAAATCAGGTATGTAGTCATCTTTTTTTTTTTTTAAGGTTTTATTTATTTATTTTGAGAGAGAGAGGGAGCATGATCGGGGTGAGAGCAGAGGGAGAAGCAGACTCCCTGCTGAGCAAGGAGCCCGCGCATCACTGGCTGGATGACAGGACTCCAGGACTTCCGCATCATGACCTGAGCTGAAGGCAGATGCTTACCCAACTGAACCACCCAGGCACTCCCATAGTCATCTAGATAGCAGCAAGATCAAAACCTAACTATTCAGTTCTAGAAATCATTTCATTCTTGGAAATATTGTCATTTAAAAAAAGAGAGAGAGAAAATGTTGTCATTTTATGAATATATGCATGTGCGTGTGGCAGAGGTAGGATGGAAGAAGACCTAGGCAAAAATTTAGGCAGTTAATGATAAAAGGTGTATATGTAATCAACGGCTAAATACAGACTCAGAACAAACAGCCAAAAGGGAATGGACGTAGATGGAATGGCCTTGTGTGAAAATGAGAATTGAATTTAACCTAAAGAATGTTTAAGATTTGAATGGATGGGAAAGGAGATGGAAGAACATTTATGTGACCATTAAAACAATGTTGTGGTGAAGGATGGACTGAGAGGCCATTTTTTGGACTGCAGTGAACTCAGTGTAGGGTGGGGTTACGGCTTTGGAAGGCACTAGAAGAATGTGAATTTATTTATTTATCTATCTATTTAAAGCACATTTATTTTTCTTAGAAATCTCTACACTCAATGTGGGGCTCAAACTCAGGATCCCCAGATCAAGAGTTGCATGTTTTTCTGACTGAGCCAGCCAGGCTTCCCGGAAGAATGTGAATTTAATCTCGCAGACAATAGGAACGCAGATTACTGAGTGGGCAAGTGCATTATGAAAAAGATAGAGACAGGCTATGACACTACTGTAAGAATTCATGTAGGAATTCACATAAGAATTCCTAATATTCAGGTAGGGATATTATGAACAAGCCAGATTAAAAAAGATATTGTGGAGGAAGATTTAATAGAACTTGAAAAAGCTGGATGTAGGCAAAAAGAAAAGAGGAGTTTAAGGAAGTCCTAATTTTTGTTATTCGTACTTCAAAATAGAGATATTTATTCAACCCTTTCCTTCTTGTGAAATAAAATTCTCCTGGGGAATGCTATAATTTTGTACAACTATAGCCTGGCTAAGGGTGTTGATGCAGATTCCATTAAGATTATCAATCTCCGGCAAAATTTTTTGTTTGCTTTTAGAATCATGGATTCAGAGTGGAGACTCCCTTTGAAGAGGAGCTTGCTTATTTTATTGTTTTGTTTTATTTTATTTTATGATTTTATTTATTTATTTGAGAGAGAGTGAGCTAGAGCAAGGGGAAGGGGCAGAGGGAGATGGAAAAGCAGACTCCCAGTTGAGCACGGAGCCCCCCCCCCCCCGCACCGGGCAGGGAGCCCGATGCAGGACTGGATCCTAGAACCCTGAAATCATGACCTGAGCTGAAGGCAGATGCTTAACTGAGCCATCCAGGCACCCCTACTTTTTTAAAGCAGTGATTCTTAAGGTGCTCATGAGGTCAAAGCTATTTTCATAATAATTCCAAGTTATAATTTTTCTTTTTCACCTCATTCTCTCAGGAGTGTACAGGACAGTTTACCAGAGGCTACATTCTCTGTGATATCGCATAGATTGAATGCAAAAGCAGATAGAAATGCAGCTGTCTTCTATTAAGCTAGATAATAAAGAGATTCATGAAAATGAAAAACAATGTAACTCTTCAGAGTAGATTTTTAAAAATATATAGTTATCTATAATTTAAAATGCTATTTATGCTAACCCATGATGTGCTTACTGTTATTTTAAAATAAATGAAAAGGTCGCTATTTTAAAATTTTCTCAGTTTTAATTTCTAATACAGTAAATGACAGCAATGCAGTAAATAACCTAGAGAAACAAAACTTTTTCAGGGTCTTCAGTAATTTTTAGGAGTGGAAAGAGGTCACAAGACCAAACAGTTTGAGAACATTTGCTCAAAAGTGATACACTCCAATGTTGTTAAAAGACAAAAAGTTTCCACTCCGACTTTGCTATGTTCCCTACATTGTTACTCCCTGCCCATCATAGTGGTGTCAGAAGACTGAAATTGCTCTCAAACGCTTTTCTAAGCTTACTAACTTCTAAACCATGCCTCATTTCCAGATAAAGAGGAATGATATTTCTTACCTGTGCTTGACAGTTTCCTACGAGAGGAAGGGATCTGGAAAGTTTGAAGTCTCTTTCTTTTCTTGAGGCTGTGGAGATGGGAAAAGGTGGCAGTCCCGTCAGCAGCTGAAGCCAGCAGCTGGGAATGCAGAAATCTGCTTTGGAAAGCAGAGCTAGCTGGTTGTCAGTTCTAATTGCCATCTAGGAGGAGACCAAGCCTCTGGGGGAGGAGACCAAGCGACTCAGAGAAAGGAGGAAGAAGGTGGAGGGAGGAGACTGTTCTGGCACGCCTTGAACCCGCCTTCAAATGTGGGCTCTTGCCTAGGGCAATAGAACTTACAGTAATGTCAGAGAATATGGGTACTTCTTTTAATGTAAAATCACTATTTTAATGAAATAATTTTTTCTGTAAAAGTTGGGAGTTCTGGCCCTCCCAAAGCTTGTGCCTCTTTCAGAAGTACTGTACTTCCAAGCTTCCCCCTTCTTTAAAGTTTTGTATGTATTGTTGTTGTTTAGAATTACTTATTTTAGAGAGAGCGAGCATGGGTGGGATAGAGGGAGAGAATCTCAAGCAAACTCCCCACTGAGTAGGGAGCCCAACAGCGGTGGAGGTGGGGGGGCTCCATCTCACGACTTGTGAGATCATGACCAGAACTGAAACCAAGAGTCAGATGCTTAACCGACTGAGCCACCCAGGTGCCCTCCAAGCCCTTTTAAAAAAGCACCTGCTTGGTCAGTTAGAAGCATCTTTTCTCACATTAATCTCTCTCTGTTTTGAGACTTTCTTTCTTTCTTTTTTTAAGATTTTATTTATTTATCTGAGAGAGAGAGAGAGAGAGAGGGAGAGAGAGAGAGAGAATGAGAATGAGAGGGGAGAGGTCAGCAGGAGAAGCAGACTCCTTGCCTAGGAGGGAGCCCAATGTGGGACTTGATCCCAGGACTCCAGAATCATGACCCAAGCTGAAGGCAGTTGCTTAACCGACTGAGCCACCCAGGCGCCCTGTTTTGAGACTTGCTATTCATACTAAAGCACAAAAGTCCTTCCTTATCTTCCAGTGCTGAATAATCAGCCCTATTAGAATAACCCTTATAATGTAATAATAGCACCTAAAATATAACTTTAAAAAGGGAGAGGAAAATATAACAGCCTTGAAAATAATTAGCAGAAACAAAGTTCCTTGGACAATTTTTTCTTGAACATGTGCTAAATTGTATTACCTTGCTAGCAAGGGAATTAGCAAAGTGACTTTCTGTTTTTGCTTTTTTTTTTTTTTTTGGCCAGTATAGAGCCTGTATAGAAACAGAGGGGTTCTAGAATTAGGAAGTAAATGCTTCCATAAGTAGCTAGTTGGGTGTTTTGTTTTTTAACAAAATAGGGTTTTCATTTTATAAGGTATTAAATACATCACATCCACAGCAGTGATTACAAAGGAAGCCTGTGGTGGGATGGTCACAGGTGCTTGGTGCAGAGACTACTGGAAGAAGAAAAATCACACATTTAAGAAGTATATGATAAGAATACACACATGATTGAAATTGAACTAACAGATTTCCATCCTCCAACTATAGTGTATGAAAGCATGAAATGGAGTCCAGTAGTGATCAGAAGCAGAGCACCAGACAAAATAATTTTAAATGGCCCATTCCCGATGATTTCTCTTCAACTGTAAAGATGTAGAATGCACAATTTACCCACTTCTTGGTTTGGGGATAAACGTTTTTTTTTGATACAGAGCAACTCAGATGTCTTCATGTCCTGCCTATTTCACAGGATTATTTGTGAAGATTAAATGAGATGAAGATAACCCTTTGAATGTTTTAAAGCACTAGACAACTATAACTCTCCACACATTCTCACTTATTCTTACTCATTTAGCTTATGCAGTGGAGATAACATTTTAAAAATAAAATAAAATGTCTCTGGTGTTCTCTTAATCTGGTGTAAACATTTATGTATTCGGTGGAATCACTTTTCCTTGAAATATTTTACGAACTAGATAACTATATAGTTAGATATCATACAATGTGAATAGAAGAGGAATAGGTGAGTATTTCCCAGACTTTTGGGTTTAATGGACTATAAAGAGTAATGACAATAATGATAATAATGCAGAAGAGATAAACACTGAGTGGGCAACTTTATATTTTGCCAAGTAAGAGCAATAAATATCTTAAAAATCTTTGTATTTTTATTTCATGAATGACCACTTTAACACCAAAAAAAAAAAAAAAAAAGTCAAGAAGTACATAATACCAGAGTAAAGGACAATTCTTTCAAGAGATGGTATGGCTTTATGAAAAACTCATTACTTTTCCCCCTCATTTTACACACATGGTAAAAATTTCAACACAGATTGTTATCAGTCCTCAAAGAGTGACTGGGATCCTATAAAGACTGTCAATAATAATTCCCTATATTTAATCCAGTCTTATTAAGTGATTTATATATCACAATATTATCAAATCAAGTTAAACTGAGTACCTATTTTCTGGGAACTTACTTAAAAAGAATGACTTTCTCACAAGGAGCAAAAAAATAAACATACACACAGAAGTCTTTATGTCAACTAACATTGAGATAAACCAAAGGGAAAAAACCTTGTTGACTGTAGTTTGCTAAGGTGCAAGAGCGTGTACCTGAAATTTATGGACGATGTTATTGACCTTTGTTTTATGAGGTGGTATTTTTTTCCTTCCACATCAACTAACTGTGCATAACCTTAGAATGTCTGAAATTGCAGGTCAAAGTTGCCACATGAAAGCACTGCGAAGTATGTGAGCCATGTATGTTAGAAAGTATTTTTTAAAAGCTGCCAATTAAGGTGACTAAACCTATTGACATCAGGAAAGGAATCTTCCAGAAGGGTGTGATTCTTAAAGTGTGATTGCATCAGAGAAGAAAGAGGCGAAGGAATGGATGTCTGGGTCTGGAAGTTGCGAGCCAGGAGAACGCTGGCTTCCTTCAAACTTCCTTCAAACAAACCATCTGGAATATTTATAGTTTTATTTGAGTAGTAGTGTTGGGTGTCCCATTTTGTGTTCCTATACTGACATTGCCGGAGGGTGGGACACACCCCACCCAGCCTCGTTTAGGCAATTCTTTTTTTTTTTTTTTTTTTCCCCCGAGAGACTAGTCTCAGATTTTTCCCATCTTCTCCACACACTTGGAGGCAAGGAGAGATGTTTGTGTCAGAGGTAACAAGTCCAGGGGAACAGCGGGAGATGAAAGGAAGAAAGCGGCCCCTCTGCGAAATGCCAGAGGACTCTTGGCTGGGCGCCGGGAGCCTGCGCAGCACCTCACGTGATTCACGTGACTCACGCGCTGACTGCTGGGAGTCCGTGGAGACTGCGCACTCGAGTGCGGGAACGCGGTATCTTCATTCCCGCGCTTTCGCTGAGGAGGAAGGTCACGACGCCATGTAGTAGACGGGCTTGGGGTGGGGCTGGAGGGATGCGTGCACTTTGGAGTGAGAAACCGGGCAGTGAGAGGAGAGACGCTTCCTCTCAGGGATGTTAGTGGGGGATTAAATACAAGTAGGGAGGAAAAGAGAGCAGGGAGGGAAGTGAGAAAAAAGGTAGGTGAAATGGCCCCAGGGGCCCACTAGGCGTTGAGAAGAAAGAGAAGACTAGGCGGAAGAAGTTGCGTAAGGTGCAGGGTCATTGCTTTGTAAAGTCTAGGTCACCAGGGCATTGGATTGCATGGCCGAGGTTAGCGTCTGCGAATGGGGTGTCCCAGGAGGAGCCGCAGCCTCTTGACCGAGCCTGGGTTCAGCAGGGAGGCCTTATTTTATGACAGAAAAAAATGAGGTTTTTTTTGCACAAACAGAGTTCCCTAACTATAGAAGTTTTCATTTGCTATCCACGCACATTCTGTTACTCTGAGAGAGGAGAGAAGAGGTGTAGAAGGAAAACGGAAGAGAAAAAGGGGAAGGGAGAAGAGAACAGCCCTCACGTTGGCTTGCTTCTCTTTTGGAACTTCCCAGGGCAAAGTGAGCAGACGGTGTGCGTGTAGTGTTTTTCTGCGAGCTGCTATTACAGCGCTTACATGCTGGAAACGCACTGACAGCAGTGTAGGAGCACTACGGGGAATTTCTTATTTGCAGTTTGTTGTTGCTATCTTTCTGTCTTATTTGTATGAACGTATGACTAATCAGTTTCACTACAGTTATCCAGGTCGTCCTAGTTTCTGCAAAAAAACCAAACAAACCAAACCAAACAAAACCAAAAGACAAAGTAAATTAATAATTGAGTATAGATTGGGCTCCTCATCGTTTAAGACATGAGGGCTGTCCCCTTGTAGGTTTCTACGTCTTTTCTTTGTTTAAACGTAATCTTTCAGATTCCTAGGGAAATGATTTTCAGAGTTGATGGGAGAGTAATTTAAGAGTAAAATTTGATGCTATATTAAGGTAAGATAGGGCAGTGGAAACTTCGACATGAAATCTTGGTTCTAGTCTGGCTTAGTGTTACTTGTTTGAACCTGATCAATGATCTCTGCCTCTGTTTTCATATCTGTGAAAAATGACATTGAATTAGATAAACTATAAGATATATTTTAACATTAATATTTTTTGAAAGTAGAGGAATCTTAAATTCTGAAACAGACACAAGTGCCCAAGAGACTAGTTTGGCTGAGGGAGTAGATGAAAATCATAGGAACAGTAGGTTGACCCCAGGTGATGTAGGACTTCGGGTGGCCATACCATGGAAATTGAACTCGTTCTGGAGCAGTGAATAGTGGGAAGGTTTTTGAGTTAAGGAAATATGGTAATCAATTTTGAAAGATTGCCCAAACAGCAGTTGATAGGATGGAATAAGGCAGGGAGAAAGTGAGTAGTTCAGGTAAGTGACAGATAATGAGAGCCTAAAAGAACAATGAGAGCCTGAAATAAATTGGTGGGACTGGAAAGACCGGGAAAGACTCAAAAAAGCTGTAGCATGGAGTTTGTACTTATATTTGGCATTCCTCTAAACCTTTCAGCTCTTGCCTCCAGAATATGATGACAAGTCACATTTTAAAACCTGATACTCGAAATTGCAAGAGACCAAGAGAACTGGAGGTAATCCATATGCTCCTGGAGCCTTAATCTTTGGTTTTATTTTTTATACTTCTCAAATTTTTTTCTACTTAAGAAAATTCTGTTGATGAATGAAATTTAATGTTTTCATATTCCCGAGGTGAGATTGTCCCAGCGGGAACTATGTTGACTCCATCTGTTTTTTCACTAAATAGTATAGGCCTTCAAGAAACTATTGGCAGATGGAATTTCTTTGTTGTAATCCATGAGGGAGAAACAAAAATGGCTTCGTGCCTATATGAAACATAGGATTTTAAGTAATTGTTTTGCTCTAAAAAGTAGGATACCTAGGTACTATAGTTGCTGATATTTTAAAATTTAGAGTGCTGCATTCTGCCCTTCTTCACTACTCCATCTGTTTGCGTTTGGGACATTATTTGCTTCCTTTTAAAGATTATGTTATTTTGCAAAATTTTGCAAGCATTTGGCTATTGTCTAAATGAAAGTTTTACTGTATTGCTATGGAAACATCTGCTGGTTCAAGATACAGGAAACTTTTTCATCAAGGAATTAATATATTCAAAGTGTAATGTAAAACCGAAGCAAAATTTAGTATGTTCGACAAGGTGCTTGTTAGGCCTAAAAGTTTTCTTGGTAATAAAATTTCAAATGACTCATTAGGACATGAATGCATATAATTTCTAGCATGTTTGCTTTTTTCCTGAAAGATGTTTTATTTGCCTTTTTGGGGGACAGAATACATATTTCCTAAGGATCTTGTTGACTATTTATCTGTTTTCTTTACTTTCTTCTATTAGCCTCAAATGCCAGATAGTCCACAACTGTCCTCTCTTGGAAAATCAGATTCCTCTTTCTTGGAAAGCTCTGGACTGTTTTATAAAGATGAATCCCTGGAGAAAGATTTGAATGGTGATATATAAAATGCATATATTTCTAAATACTGATTTTATAATACAGACAGTTTATAGTTCATAACTTAGTAATTTTTTTTTGAACAGATATGAGCAAGGAAATTAATCTAATGTTGTCTACATATGCAAAGATCTTAAGGCAAGTACTTATAGCATATACTCTTGAGTCTTTCTCTTAGAAATAATGTTTTTCTGGAAACTCCATAATGAGAAGTTTAGTTCAGTGGCTGCAAACCTATCCAGTAATTGTAATTTCAGAGTTTTTTATTCTACCTTAGTTTTTTATAATAAATTAGTTCGTTATTTTCAAAGAATAACCCCAACTTTTACACGAAACATCCTTTGTTTTGTTATTACCAGAACTAAAGACTAAGCTGGATGTATTTTGGTCTCTAATTAGATGATCTAACATTTAACATTTGATGAAAAAACTTATTTTTTGAAAAATGCCATTTATTGAAGATAATGCTAATAAGAGTGATATTAAAGATAAATATATTTATGAAATATTTAAATATTATGTCTATATTTGAAGACTGAGTTTAATATTTTATTGACCTGAGATTATCATGTTTATAAGATGTTCTTTTTTGTTTTGTTTTTTAAAGTTTTTTTTTTTTTTTTAAATACTGGACAATCATTGTGTTTGGATGATGGTTTATGTGGTTGTTAAAATAATGTATATAGTTTCATATTAGAATTACAATGTATTATAAGATACATAGTCTGCAGTGTCAGGAGACTGAATTGTCAAAAATATTTACATGACTAACTTTTACTGAAGACTTTCTAAATTAATGAAGCTTTTTGACGTGCAAAGCTATTTAAATGAAGTAGCTAACAAGTATAACATAATAAAGAACATCACTGTGATAGTGTCACTAGACATTCTAACTATTTAGTTTAATGTAATACTTTTTTTTCCTCATTAGTGAGAGAGCAGCAGTAGATGCATCTTATATTGACGAGCTAGATGGACTCTTCAAAGAAGCCAATACTATTGAAAACTTTCTAATACAAAAAAGAGAGCTCCTGAGACAGAGGTTTACAGTGATTGCAAACACACTGCACAAATAAAATTGTGTACTTAAAATAAGCTGAGAATTTAAGCCCATTGTTGTTGTATTAAAAGAATGACATTTATGCTCTGAAAGCTCTCTAGTTGTTAAAGAAAATGTGTGCCTTAAACATAGAAGGGGAGAGTCCTTGAATTTCTTTTCTAGATTTAAAAGGGGCTTTAGACTGGACATTAATATGAAGTATGTAGCTTTTTTTTTGAGGGTTAAATATTTGGCATATTTCATAAAAGTGTAAAGTATTTTAATTACATATAGATTCTTTTTTTCCCTTAAACTTCCTAGCCTTTCTTAAAATCCTAAAAGAAGACTCAGTGAGTTAATTTGATAATATTTCACAGTATTGCACTTTTTCTTTTAGAATACTCTGTCTAAATATCAGATAGCTATGGAGATAGTTTAAAAATGTTTTTCATGTCAGTATTATAAAAAACTAAAACCTCAAGGTAATTTGTCCAGTTTCACAATATGTAATAAAATATGGCTAAGGTATTGCTATTTAATGTTACCATTTGATTATTTTCACTATTAGTTATTCTATATGGCTAATAAAAATTCTTGGTTTAAAATTATTTTCTTGTGGTAAAAGTGATAAAATAAAAATGAGAAATTACTAACCAGAACCTTACATGAGTTGGCTTTTTTACATATCAACCGTATCAGTGATGAAGTTAATAAATTATATTTAGAGCCTTAGCATCTGTGTGGCATGGGACAAAAATTAGTGATCCAGAAGTAAAAAGATTGCCTTAACAACAAGGTAACCTTGGTGAGTCATTTCAAACCTATTATAAATTGAATAAATTGAATTTCAATTAGAGGATCTCTAAAACTCATCTAGCTTAAAAAAAAAAATTCTCTAAAAAAAAGTTGGAAGGTATTGCTATGTTTTTATTGAAGAATTTTAATATGTTGTATAATTCTATATGATAACTATTAGATGTGATAACTATATTAATCAGGTTTTTAAAAATCACAGCACACATTTTTCAATCATATAGATAATTCAATCTATTTTATGTATATTTTACCAATATAAGCAATCACAAATTTGTACATATTTACAAATGGCACCACAGGGAATTTGGTATTCCTTTGGTGTATAGCATATTTGCCTTGCTACCTTCTAAATGGTAAAATCTCATTTGATAAATAAAACAGCAATCAGATTACTATTTTAAAGCATATATACCACATTACATAAATAAGAAAACATTGAAAACATTAAAATAAAATATTAACTAAAAATACTGGTTAAGTGGAAAAAATTAGGTTTGCAGAGGGATATGCTAATGGTGCAGGGTAGGTTGGAGGTCAATGAAGTAACTATTAGTATTTGAATTTTAAAATACTGAATGTAAACAGAAGACTATATTTGAGTTAATATGACATGTCTCCTGGAGTTTGAGTTATTATGTTAACTTACAGAATTTTTTAGTGTTCTAAATACAAAGATGTCTCTACTGACCCATCATAATTCACACTTACTAACTAATGAGAAAGACAAGGCTAAAATTATTTCAAAGTGCTTTTCCTAATGTGCTTGTTATATCTTGATGGTGTCACCATTGTTCAATATGTTCTTTCCTATGCTGGTTCAGAGAATTGGTTCGATCATTTCATTTGGTATGATTAAGACTAGGGAACCGATTTTTAGTCACAATGTGTTTACTGGTCAGAACAGCTACATCCTAGGATAAAAGTTCTTGACAGCCGATAAGACTGATTTTTTATCAACTTTTGATGTCTTTGGTACCATCCACACAAACAATAATTATCTCTGAATAATTAACAAATGCAGATACGCTATTGCCCTTTAATTTACACTTCTAATACTCATTTCAATAAAATTTCACAAGTTTATAAATTATTTCTCACTGTTTACCAATAAAAATAGATATTGAATGTCTTTGTACATCAATATCTGCTAGGCACTATGGGGAATACAGCATAGTTTAAGGTACTCTTTGTTCTCCCTTCTGACAGTTGTCAACACTCCTTTCTCGAAATATACTTACATGTCTTTGCTAGGAAGACATGATAGGTAAACGTTAGAAGTGTGTCTGTGCAGTGCTAGTTAACTCCTTTTGGTGGAAGTTACTAGAAGAGTTTGCAAAGGGGTCAGAGAGGTAGTGAAATGGGTTTTTGATAAGGAAAGAGGGAGGATATTTCAGACAGGAGAAAGTTTGTTAAAATGGCACCGAAGAACAAAAGCACGTGCAATGTTAGATAAGATTTTTCCTGAGCTGAGAATTCACGAAGGGCAATAGTGCATCATCTAAACTGCTGGAGAGCAGGGACTGAATCTTGTTTCCTTACATTCTTAATTTGTAGCACAGTATTTGATGTATTGGTGCTCAAAAGCGTTAAATGAATAAAAATATACATGATTATATGTTTATCAAGGGCATACCTTCACAGAGCCTTATTCGTACTATATTGTCAGAAACTGTTTTGTAAATTATATAAATGGAAAAGAAAAGGAGGGATGAAATGCTAGAAAGCAGAGGGGCAAAGATGGAAAGGTAGGTGTGGCCAGATTGTAGAGTCCTTTGTTGATAGACAACAATTGGACTTTATTCTGTAAGAAAAGAGATATGACTCTTTCAGAGGCGAGAGGTGGCATAATGAAACTGAGCCATGGATCAAGGTGCTTAATCGTAATGTGAGAAGAGGTTTGAAAGAAGAAAGTTTAGGAAGGGAGACCACTATTGGTGGTCCAGTTTCAGAATTTCAAACAGCTACTTATCATAGGTAGGTAATTGGGATACTTCTGGAAATGTGGCCAAACAGGAGAGATTGCAGGTTCTGGAAGCCCTGTCCCTTGTCTGCCCTCCCTGGCTTCCTCCTCCATTCCCTCCTATTCTGTCAGTGAGCCAAGGACAGCCCAGGAAGTTAACTGGGAGGTTTTGGAAATCACAGGATCTGTTGCTGCTTAATTCAATACCAGAATGTTTTTTCAGACCTTTCTCCATTTTGTCAGCAACCTTTCTACCATTGCAGTGGGCTTTCTTTCTGTGGTAGTACACTGGATCCCAGGTAGGGGATTTGCCTCCTCCCCCCGCCCCCCTTCCTTCTCTTCTTAGCAGCTTAGGCTTTTAATTCTGTGCCTCTTTCTGAAGAGTACTGGGGGCTTCTAAGCTTTTCACGGTAGCAGATACAGGCAGCAACACCACAGAGCTGAGAGTTAAGGAAGAATGAGTCAAGATTTCTTTACCTGTCAGGGAAGCAGTCTTGTATTTATATATTTTGTATAACATATGGGGCAGGATTCAGGGTGTAGGGATTCTCTTAGATCTGCAATAGGAAGAATAGTCACTATTTAGAACCTTCTCAATTGAAAATCACTGCTACATGTCCTAATGTAAATGTTTGGTTCTTCTGTTTGCATTCTGGGGGACTGCCTTAAATTCTTAAATTCTGGGTTTTTTTTTTGGTTTTATAGCTTTCTATTACAGCTACTATTGTTACATGATTTTATTTATTGAAATTGGCTGGTGTTGAGCTATCAAAAATCCTACTAATATGCACTATAAATTTTAAAATTCTATAATTCAATAATTTAGTGCTTGCAGTATGCAAGGCAGTGTTTTAGGTACTGGAGTGGGAGTAGAAACAAGTGACCCTTTACTCAAGGAGTACCAGTAGTAGAGGTTATAAATTGTATTCATCTTTATTGCACAAGAGAGAGTAAGATGAGTGCCATAACAGAGCTGAAATAGGTGCTGTGTGAGTTCAGACTAAGGAGAATCAGTTCTTGCTATAGGAAATGGGAATGTTGTGTTTAAGAAGTGGGTGATGTGGACACTGGATCTTGAGTGATCTTGAAGGATGAGTAGGGTAAGTGAATTTCACCTGGAGGAGATGGGAAATACCTTAGATGAAGAGAAGGATATAATTATGATGAAGAGGAGAGAATGGGGAGTGGTTTAGTTTGGCTGGAATGGAAGGCATTAGTGAGGGGGTACGTGGACAGGTAAGCTGGTGTGAGATTGTACAGTGTCTTCAGTGCCTGGCCAAGCAGTTTAGACTTTACCTGGTAGACAGTGAGGAGTCATTTGTGAAGGCTTTTGGAGGATTATTTGATACAGTCAGATCTGTTCTTAGGAAGATTAATTTAGTAGCAGTGCTTCCCAACTTTTTTCACATCATAGCACACATAGAAAATGATAATATTTTTACCTCGATGGGATCTGGAGCCCCGTGTGCTGTTTAGGGCTGGAAGCAATTGGCTTGTGGCCTCTAGCCATCTCAAGGGATAAAGGAATCAAGAGGCCTAACCGTTTGGAGGCTCCCATAGTAGATAACTTCCCTGTTTTCTCCTTCCAATTAAGAGATTTTGATAATATCATCTAAGAGGTTGTGTGGGCCTTAATTAGGTCAGTAGAAAGGGCATGACTGATGGGTAGGAGAAGTTGAAGCACTGATGCTGAGGAGGACAGGTTCGGGCCGGAAGAAAAATTGGGGGAGCTGCCCGGGTGGTGTGGACTAGCACAAATCTTTACAAAGGATTTGCCCAAGGCACCCTTGTAAACTTCTGAGCCTTAGTAATTTATACTGGCCCCCCTATATCATCCCTGTAGCATTCTCTTCCTGGCCCTGTCTGGATATAGTCAGAATTTAACCACTTAGTGAATGTGAGGGGACAGTGAAGAAGAGGAACTCAAGGCCCACAGAGATTTTGAAGCTAGGTGATTTAGCAGGTGGGAAAAGTGGATTTGGAAAGGTGAAAATGAACAGTTCTCATTTGACATGTTGAGAGTCACTTGCAAGAAGTACTTGGTGAAATTAAGGGACTAGATGAGACTACCAAGGAGGGTGTGCTGAGATTATAAAGAGTCCAGGTTCAAGGTCAGGCTCAGGAGGTGATAAGAGGGAAGAGCACCAATTAAGGGAGTTAACATTTAGAAATTATCTACTACCATATTTAGTTACGACAACAAACATAAATGGGAAGTATTATCCTTCTTTCATCCCTATTACCCCCATTATCACTGAAAAACTCGAGGCTCAGAGTGATTAGTAACTTACCAAGGTTGTCAGCTAATAAGTGAAGCAAACAAAGAGGGAGCAAGGAAGTTAGACAAGTGCAGTGTTTTCAGGAACCAAGACTAGAAAGGGGATTAAGGAGGTATAGATCACAATATCAAGTATGGTGGAAATTTTGAAGAATATATAAAAAACGGCCAATAACATGCTATGAAGTACAGTACATATAGACATGTAAGTTTTTTCTAAAATGTGAAGTGTTTTAAATTCATGAATCTCTATTCAGACAAATGTCCAATCAGGGTATTCAATTTAATTATACTAAAGTGAGAGGACTAAAATAACTGACCTCAGGACGTTTATTTTAATGTAAAAGGAGAGTGAGATGAATATGCGTAATATAAATAAAAGTAGTAAGATAAGGGTTTCAAAGCATCCTCTTTATGCCCCTAATATTGTGGTTCTTAAATTTTCATATGCCTAAGAATGCTTGCTTACTTTATCCCAAAAATTCTGATTAGGTCCAAGGTGGAATCCATAAATCTGCATTTTAACAGTAATATCACGTATTTTTGTTCCAAGTAGTCCTCAGACCATACTTAGAGAAACAGCGCTCAAACAAGACACTGATTACAGTATAAACAGTCTGTTTGTATGTTCATTTACATCAGGTTTGAATACTTTTTATCCCTGAATAAATAATTTGAAGGAAGATGATACTACATCTTGTTGATCATTGAAAGCTATGTCAATAATGATAGCTAACATTTTTGAGCATTTACTATGTTCTAAAAACCTTACATAACCTATTTGTTATTTATAACCTTAGAAGTAATAAGAATTATTATTATCCTCACCTTAGATAGGAGGAAACAGAGCACAGAGAGGTTGCCTTGCTCAAGGTTATTTATTTAAAAAATGGCAGATCAGGATTTGAAACCAAGCAGTTTGGCCCCTGGCAGAATCCGGGACAGTACTCTTATTAAATATTATACTACATTTCCTCATAAAGGAGGTAGCATTTAAGATAGAATTTGAACACTAGTAGCATTCCTTAGGGATAGATTAGTTAATTTTATTTGGGAAAGCAGGAAATATTTGGCTTTGACTGAATTGTTATGTATAGGAAAGTAGAAGGAATCATGTACTCTAAACTGAATTTTATAAAGATTTGAAAGAAATGAGATAATAAATATAACATTGTAAAATATTTTGCTAAAGTAATGCAAATCTCACTTCTTCAGAGGAATAGTGTCTTTCTGTGTGTTAGTTTTTCTAGTTTAGACTCTATATTACTGTTAAAATTTTATGAAATAAAATAAAGCACTAATTAACTTCATATCTGACCACCCCTCTGTGTTAGGCAACACTGCCTTGTGAACACCAAATAAATATGAAATAAAAAGGATAATTTTCAGCTTTTTATATAATAATGATTTTTTTCTTCCTGTGGCTTTTTGAACTTCAGGTAATTTCAGACCAGGTATCACTGCATAATTCAGTTCATGACACCCTTCTGAAAATGCCATGCAAGTTCATGCATATGTCATTAAAATGGAAGAAATTGAATTACATCCTACTAAATTCTCATATAAGTTGCTGTGAAATCTTTGGCATCCCATTCTGGTTAATATAATTAGGATAGTGATGAATAGTGGTCATTTTTTATCATTACAATGAGGTTGCTTTTAGCACATCTAAGGTTAATACGCAGATTCAGTCTTGAAAAGAGGAGCATTGTTCAACCAGGAGAAATGATAATAATACATTCCTGAGTTAATTCTTAGGCAGATTTGTACAGCAAGAATACAAAAAAAAGGGATTGTTGTAGTTCAAAAATGGAGAACCAGAGAGGTGACAGTTTGAGAATGAGGAAGGAGAGGAATTTGGAGACTATATTTGGTGTTGGGTTTACTTTTCCCTTACCAGTAGGTAAGAGTATTGTCTATGGAGAAACAGATACCTTATACAATTTTTTTTGTGCTCTTGATTTCCTCTTCACAGTTTTGAAAAAATACATGGAGGGTACCGATCAGAAGAAGGCAGCGGTCGGTAAGCGTGAGGGGCTTCCATGTATTACGCCGCTGCTAACCACGGTGGAGGAGACGCCACAGGTGGTCTCTGCTCAAGTCCGAGGACATTTTCCCAAGTGGCTCAGTGGCAGTCTGCTTCGAATTGGGCCTGGGAAATTTGAGTTTGGGAAGGACAAGTAAGTCTTGATTTTGGAGAACGATTTCGATTTTTTGGCATGGCTGGTTCTATGGAATAGGCATTAAATCTGTTTTCTCTCTAAGGCTAACATGGTTATGCAGTCCCTTTGATTACAGGTGAAAAAATTGTAGTTTACAGGAAAAAAAAAGAGAGACACTTAATTCTGGGGGAAAAAAAAGTCCTGACTTTTCTGCTTTGCAGAATATTATGAATTTGTCATCCTCTGAGGGCTTCTGCCAAAAGAGAAGTGTCAGGAATGGTCCGTATGACTACCGAGCCCTGTTTCACCACAAGTTCCTGAAGGAAGAAGCAATGTCTTCACCTCACACACCTCCCCTACCCAGTGCTCCCCAGACACGATGGCTCTTTCAGTTCCTCAAACTGGACACATTTGTTTTTGCTCAGGGTCTTGGCATCGGCTCTTGTCTATCTTCCCAAGTCTGATTCTTGTCATTCAGATATCAGCTCAAGTCTCACGTCCTTTGAGCCGTCCCTGATCCCCAGATCTAAAAATGCTATTATTAATTATAGAACATATTGGGGCACCTGCATGGCTCAGTCAGTTGAGCATCTGACTCCTGGTTTCTTGGTTTCAGCTCAGGCCATGATTTCAGGATCCTAAGACCCAACCCACTGATGGGCTTGGCACTCAGCTCAGAGTCTGTTTGTCCCCCTCCCTCTACTCCTCCCCTTGCTCGTGTGCTCTCTTTCTCAAATAAATGCATAAAATCTTTTTAAAAAATGGTATTACCTCTTTTAATTCTCTGCATAGCACTATCAAATGCCTAGTATTTCTTTGTTTATTGACCATGTTCCTCCAGTAGATTATAAGTTCCATGTAAGCAGAGAATTTTTCCTGTTCACCCTAAATCCCTAATATCCAGGGGGTGACCTGCTCTTAAATAGCTCTCAATAAATACATGTAAATAAATGAAAACACCAATAATTCTTAAGTATATTATTTCTCTGTACATTTAGTTAGGGACATGAAGTGATGTAAAGAAACCCCTATGGTAGGGAAGGAATCATCTTTGTTTTAAACATTTTTGAATATTAAAACTTTTTCTCATTTTAGAAGTTTTTTCTTGTATAAAACTTTCTGAAATACAGAACAGAGTGGAGGGAAATGTGGACCACATCCTCTATTAGCACTTTGGTGTATTTCCTGCTAGTCTTTGCCCCATTTTATAGATTGGTTTTAAATAATTACAATCATATTGTATGTAGAGTTTTTTAATTTAAGTATAATTGACATAACATTATATTAGTTTCAGGTCTACAACATAATGATTTTATGTTTGTATGTGTTGTGAAATGGTTACCACAGTAAGTCTAGTTAACACCTGTCACCACAGGTAGTTACAAAAAATTTTTTCTTGTGATGAAGACTTTTAAGATTTATTCTCTTAATTTTCAAATATGCAATATAGTATTATTGACTATAGTCACCATGCTGTATATTACATTCCCATTACTTTTATTTATATTTGTACCTTTTGATGTCTTTCACCCATTTCAGCTACCCTTACCCTCTCCTCCTTCCATATTTTGCAACCACCAATCTGTTCTGTGTATCTGTGAGCTTGGGCTTTTTTGTTTTTTGTTTGGTTTTGTTTTGTTTTTTGAAGATTCTGTATATAAATGAGATCACATGCTTTTGGAGTTAGTGTTTCTATTTTCTTCAGATAAATACCCAGAAGTAGAATTAATGGATCATGTGATAATTCTGTTTTTAATTTTTTGAGGAACCTCCAATACTGTTTTCCACGTGGCTGCACCAATTTGCATTCCCACTGACAGTGCATGAGAGTTCCCTTTTCTCAACATCCTCACCACCTTTTGCTATTTTTCATTTCTTTGATACCACCCATCCTATCTAACTGTGAGGTGCTATCTCATTGTGGTTTTGATTTGCATTTCCATCGTGATTAGTGACGTTGAGCATCTTTTCATGTGCCTCTTAGACATCTGGAAGTCTTCTTTGGGAAAATGTCTATTCAGATCGTCTGCCCATTTTTCAATTAGAGCGTTTATTTTATTTTTTATTTTTAAAAGATTTTATTTATTTATTTGATTGAGAGGGAGATAGGGAACGAGAGCACAGCAGGGGGAATGGCATGCAGAGGGAGAGTAGGCTCCCTGCTGAGCAATGAGCCAGATGTGGTATTTGATCCCAGGACCCTGGGATCATGACTTGAGCCAAAGGCAGAAGCTTAACTGACTGAGCCACCCAGGTGCCCCAGACTGTCTTTTTTTTTTTTTTTTTTTTTTTGCTGTTGAGTTGTACACTTTCTTTATGTTTTGGATATTAACTGATTTTCTTTTTGCTTTGATTTAAAAAACTTTCACACTATCATAAGCCTTTTAATCCATGTTGCTATGAAATCTGAATGACCATCATTTTTAAATTTTAATGGCTGAATGGGAAGGTGGTTTGGAGGCAGAGAAAAAGAAGGTGAATGAGCTGGCCTATATATCCCCCTGGCCCTAATCAGCATAGTTGTGGTTTTTTCTACTTAGGTATCTGTATTCGATGCAAGTTATAATTTGAAAAAAGATTATAAGACAAAAAGAAGGGGGAGGAAGAGGGAGAAAAATAAAACTAGGAGTCCAACCCCGAGAGAGTAACAGCCTCTTGCAAAAGCATATGGTCTTTCATCTGCTGCTGAAGTAGCTCTAGTAAATTTTAAAACCAAGCAGCAGAGCTACCGAGGGCCTAGGCTTGCACTACAGGCCTCTTTAAAGATAAACATCTTCATGGGGGAAGTGGTGGTGTGGCTGGTCCCCGTGAATGTCTGCTTAGTACTTTAAATCCATTTCTTCTGAGCCAGCGGTAGGCATGTACAGCAGGAACAGGGGCTGCCCATTCCCTTGGGTGTGAGGTACAGGTGCCTTCAGGTCAAAGAGGGCGTTTGGTTTAGTGCTGGGCTCCCCAGATCAGACTCCTTAGGTGGGTGGGGTCCTAAAGCCAGGGCACCCCAACCCGCGAATGAGAGTACCCCCCCCTCCATTCTGAGTCTCTGGTCCCTTAGTGTGATGCCATTCAGGAGTCTCTGTCTCCTGCAGACATAGCAGCGACATGACAAAGGCCCTTCTTCAATCAAAAATATTTTATCAGTGATTTCATCCATGATATCAATGATTGCGTGTTTATCGGTTTTTTAAATGACATGAATCTGGGTAGAATAGGAGCTGTCCTCAGCATTTTATTTTGTTTTGTTTTATTTGATTTGATTTTAAAGATTTTATTTACTTGACAGAGAGACATAACGAGAGAGGGAACACAAGCAGGGGGAGTGGGAGAGGAAGAAACAGGGCTCCTGCTGAGCAGGGAGCCTGATGTGTGGCTCAGTCCCAGGACCCTGAGATCATAACCTGAGCCGAAGGCAGACACTTAATGACTGAGCCACTCAGGCACCCCTGTCCTCACCATTTTAAAACTTACACCTCTCCCAGACTGACTTCAGGATCCGTAAAGAAGGTAGTCTAGCCTCCCATCCTCTCTGCAGTGACTGTCCCCTCTGTGCCACCACAGCAAGGACACATTCTGGAATTTATGCCACAGAGTCAATCTGCCCTTGACATCTTGAACCCTGAGACTTTGCTCTCTGCTCAAAACCCCCATGTCCTCACTCCTCCATTCCATCAAACTTACTTCCAACCTCTTCAGGCTCTCCCCTCCTCTGTCTTCTCTGTCCTCTCAGTTTATCAGTGCTCCTTTGACTTCTTGTCGCGGGTGCAGATTCCACCGTCAGTCACTTCAAATACACTCTCACCGCCTTCCCCGCCTCTTGTGCCCTGGGGATCGCTGGTCCTGCATGAGCCCATCCCTGCTTCCCTGCCCCGCAGTTCCAGAGGAGACCTGCAACCTCGCTCGTGGATTCAGTGACAACATCATGGTTTGCAGCCCTGCCTGAGTCCTTGGTGTCGTCAGGGCATATTTATTTATTTAGCTTTCCCTGTACTTCCAGCGTCCCGCAGTGTCCCTTCCCAAAGCCTCCATCATTCTGTTTATCCCTCTCATTGTCAACGGGCAAGCCAGACGACTTCAGTAGTGAAGAGGGGCTATTGGATGTGGGCTCCTTGCCACTGCCCTGGTTAGCAGTTAGATCACAGGACTTAACCTTTACTGTTCTGCTTATACCCACTGATCTTTATCCCCCATTGTTCCTGGAGCCCTTCTTTCCAGTTTATCTCTTAACTCAGACAAGACCCCGTGGCTATAAACCGAAACTCTACCCCTGGAGCAATAACAGCTCAGATTGCCCAGACCAGTTTGAGTTTAACCCCTGACTCCTGCCTGCACAGATGGACCATGCATGGAGTGACCCAGGGAACGACTGACAGTCACCTTCACCTCATTATGGTGCTAAAATCTCTGCCCAGGGAAGAACATAACACACGTCTAGGCACATCACCTTCAGGTGCATGTGTGAACTTATGTTCTCCCCACCCCCCCACCATGGCAGGGCTCCTCTTTCTTTTCTTTTCTTTTCTTTTCTTTTCTTTTCTATTCTTTTCTTTTCTTTTCTTTTCTTTTCTTTTCTTTTCTTTTCTTTTCTTTTCTTCCTTTCTTCCTTTCTTTCTTTCTTTCTTTCTTTTTTAAAGATTTTTATTTATTTGACGGGGAGAGAGGGAACACAAGCAGGGGGAGTGGGAGGGAGAAGTAGGTTTCCCATTGCGCGGGGAGCCTGATGCGGGGCTCCACCTAAGGACCCCGGGATCATGACCTGAGTGCAAGGCAGACCCTTAAGGACTGAGCCACCCAGGTGCCCCGGGCTCCTCTTTCTAAATATTCATCCTAACCCTAAATAAAAAGAACACATCCTCCCTTGCTCAGGGAGTTGCAGCTTTGGAAATTGCTCCCTGTGATCTCCTTGTCTGCTACAAGTAAAGTTTTCTTTGTAAGACAGTTCCACCTGGTGTAGTTTCTGTATGTGACTCACCGAGGAGAACTAAGTTGAACCTTAGTTCAACTTGCACTTTTTCCCCACCTCC